GACTACGTGGGAGTCCAGCGACATAGCCATTACGCTAACTGCTGGTTCCCACACCACTAAGATTTTAAGCAGAGTAGATAGAGGCAAGAGACTGAGGACTCCTACAGATCTGAGGCAGCCCAGAAGATGGACTGGCAGGGGGAGAATGGAAACAAGGTAGAAGGCTGCCACGGTCCATCAGATGTGGGAAGGATATGCGTTGTGATAGTCGGGGCAGCTTGGTGGGAAGGGATTCAAAGTTTTGGAGATGTATTTGGTAGGATTTGGAGACCATTTAGGGTGGCTAAATCGTGTCCAGGGATGTGGTTTGTGAACTGCAATAGCAAAATGGTTAAGTACATAGGCATTGGAGTCAATCCTGGATTCTAATTTGAACTCTTTCCACTTAATAGCTGTGATTGTTAGTGATTTTGAGCTTCTATTTTTATCTGTAAAAGAGAGAAATCCCCTCTGAGAGTAGCCAGGAAGACTCAATGACTGTATACAGCTTATCTATTAGTGTCTGGCCCATCGTGATAAATACTGAGTTGTTTTGGAGATAAGAGAATACAGGTATGTTATTGGTTGTGATGATAGGGAAGATTAATAGGACAGATATGAATATGAAATACAAAAAACTGGGGGTGCAGTGGTTGAGGCACTGGACTCCCACATGGATGACCATGGTTTGAGTCCCAGATTCGATTTGAAGTCCCAGATCAGGCAGCTTGAAACTATCCCGAGAAGAGAATGGAGAAGGGATTGTTCTGTGACCATCTCCCATGGGGAGTGATTCCTCACTCTTTTTGTCTCTTCGGTGTGCACTATACCAAAACTCTATGGCTATTTTCTGTGATAAGCAGGTGTAATTACAGGTTCTCAAGATCCTTCCCTGTGGGGTGTTTTGAGGAAATCCTATTGCCATAGCCATTCTTTGCTTAACAGGAACCTCTTCATAAGTGACCAACTTTGTTCTTCTGGGGTCTGTGCTGAAGAGCCTCCTCTCCTTGCCAACCAGGAAGATTTTGCTGGTTCCTCCCCCCAAATATGCTGATCACAAAGAGCCTTAATGACACCTAGAAATTGACAGCTGAATAAACTAGAAGTGACAGTTATAAAATATGGGATGCTCTTAAAAAATCTAGAGAAAAGCAGCCAGTCAAGTCACATCGAGTCAGTCTGATGCTTTGTAGGGTTTGGGGCAGACAGCCCCCATATCAGTAAGACCAATTACTCATCCCCTCATACTGAAAGTGGCAAGTCTTGCCCCTTTTTCTTGAATAGTAAACTGTTTTCTTGAGTAGAAAACAGGTTATCTAGCTGCTTCTGTAGGGTATTTGCTCAGAACCTGAAGTTTGTCTTCCAGTTACTGTTAGATAAGCATAATAAGAAAGTCGCTTAGTCTCTCTCCACTGGCTCCACTTTAAATGAGTGCATAATCATCTGAGTTTCTAAATGAGAAAGTCTACTGAAGCTGTTGAGCAGGCCAGCTTGTTGAGTCTTGGTAGCTGGCTGGTGGTGGTCTACTTTGCATTCTTGCCTGGATTCCTGCCTGAAAGGATTTTCAGTTGTTTCAGATGGAAGTTCTTGTATTTGTCAATGGACCCTGTAGATGTCTTCAATGTAAGTAACAAATTCAATCTCACTTGAGTAGGATCTTTCTAGGTTTTGTTTTTGTTGTCCTATCTGAGCTGTACTTGACACCAAGAGCAAAGAAGTAGAAGTTGGTACCACCCAGTCTTGTAGGCTTCTCTGCAGAGAAGAGGAACACCTTACCCAAGACTAACAAAACAATGTGCAAAAGAAGGGCCAAAAAAATTTAATTATAAACATAGTCTTACATTAAAAAAAAATAGTTCTTCAATTTTACCTACGGTGGGGTTTTGGACACACATGCACACACACTCAGCATGTCTTTCAAGTCATTGGTCTGGGACTCCAACTGTAGAGTGGGCCATGTGAAAGTTTAGCACCTTAACCACCATGCCACCTGCTGGCTCCAATATATACATCTTTAGGAAATTGCAAATAAGGCTACTCCTGAAAGAACTTTATTTATTTAAATTTGACCAGAGAAGGAGAGAGTGAGAGAGTGAGAGTGAGTGAGAGAGAGAGAGAGTGAGAAAGCAAGCCGTGCTAAGTCCAGGACTTGAACCATGGTCAGCCATGTGAGAGTGCAGCGCCCTTAACCACCATGCCACCTGCCGGCCCCCTGAAAGAACTTTATAAAAATCACTCGACTCTGTGATATTTGCAGAGTTATCTGAGTATTTAGAATTACAGTACAAGAAAGCAAAGATGCTCCAATATACAATCCTGGGACCAGCAGTTAGCATAATGGCTATGTTGCTGGACTCCCATATAGTCAACCACGGTTCAAGTCCTGGACCCGGTGGCTTAAACTCATGCCGGGCGTGTGTGTGTGTGTGTGACCAAGATTCCAAGAGGAGAATGGAGGAGAAGGGACTGTGGCGTGGCCATCCCCCTGGGAGGTGATTTCTTGCTTTCTGTCTTATCTCTCTCTGTCTCTCTAGCGAGCACACGTGCCCTATAGGAAAAACCTCTCAAAAACAAACAAACAAACAAACAAAAACAATACAATCCAGTGCTGCCGTTCTGTTTTCAGTTAAGTATATACACGAACAATTTTGTAGCCAAAAAAGGGGAGGTAAAAATAAACAAAAGAAAAGAGGGTGGCTGGAGATACCAACAATAGTAAAAAAGTAATAGTTAACCCTAAAAGGAAGTTATATACAAAACAGGAGAGAGATAAAAATAGAGGAAAAGTCTAAATTAATGAGTCACCCTGAGGACATTTCAAGATAAGCCTGGATAAAGTAAAAAGTGGCAGAGTGGGCTTGACTATGATCTTTGTGGGCAGCTGAGTCAGGTGTCACTAAAATTTCTGATGAATTAACATTGGTATGTCAATCTCTTGATGAAAAAGAAGTACCTGAATTTTAAACAGAGTTACTATAAGTCTTAAGAAATTATATTCTTTTGTATTCTGAAAAAAGATCATGAAAGATAGTAGGAATTCATTATTATGAGCTACTGGATCCGTTTTAAAACACTTCATGTGATGAAACGAGTAAGGTGTTTCCCTACTGATCTAGGCTGTGGAATGCTGCCTTCCCCAAACCCAAAAAAGCAGAATAGTAAGGGAATTACTCATTTTACTTTGTTTTTATTTGAACATAACATGCAGTAAAAAAAAAAAAAGAAAGAAAAAGGAAAAAAAAAGGAAATTAATAGGATTTATTAGCATTTACAATGCTTACAAAGTAAAAGAACTCTAAAAGCAATTTAGTTCAGATTTAAGAAAAAGTTCTAATTAAACACAATAAATCTATTTCCAAATGTTCAGTTTGGAACAAAATTTAAGATAGTATTTGGTAAATATTTATGTCTGCTGTCTATCTGCAGTATTTTTATATAAACTCTTGATTCTTGGGATATCCAGCCCCCATTTTCCTAACACAGCAGGGAAGACATATACATGTGGCCACTTAAATTAAAGGAAGAAATGGAGTAGGGAGATCCCAGGCTGCAAAAATATATACAAGCATTTACCTTTTCCAGAACTAAACATTTCTTTCATAAAAATATTAAATAGCCAAGCCCTATAGAACTAGGGCCAGGGCTACTTCAAATATAACTATTCTGTATTTTAAAAATATAGGGCAGAAAGCCTTTTGGGTGATATTTATACATTTTCACACAATATTTCTAGGTCCCTAAATGAATCATGAAGCATTATGTAGAACCAAAAAGTCTTATCTTTTTACATTATCTCTTAATTTAATATCATAAATCTCTAGTAAATATTGTAGGTAACTATATTTCAGTATGAGAGTTCACCTCAATAGGAAGTCTTTACACAAGGCTTAATCTTTGTAGCCATATATTATCAAAGTCAGACTTACACACTGAATAGATAGTTGGCAGACATTTGCTCTATAAGACAGAGCAATCACGTTGTCTTCCCCTACCAGCGAAAAGGCAGAGTCTCTACTTAGGAAAGAACTAGGGCTTTTGGAGACCACACTACATTTCCCGGGGTATGTGGAATGAAAAACAGACAGAATTGGAGAGAACCTAATCTTCCCCTTTATACTGACAATTTCTGGATGAGGTAACCCTTTCAATCATCTAAGGCTCTGCTTCAGGATGGCAGTGTCTTAAAGTACAGATACACAGTTTAAAAATGTTTTTGTTGTTCCAGGATGTAGATAGGAAGAGCAATTAGAGACAAAAGCCATTTTCTTTTTATATGGAACAGGGGTCTATTACTTTCTGCTTACTCTTGGCTTAATGTTACCTGTTCATGCTATGCTACTGAAACATAGCCAAGTCCCTGTTACATGAATTATGAGGCTATCCTCAGGGTTCACCTATGGTAGGGATTCAGCTGGCTTAAGCTTCATCCCACTGCCCTTAAAGTCAAATTTATGACAGCAGTCATATTGACAGTCTAGGCTAGCTGAGTTAAAAGAATTAACTACAGAGAACTTCAAAGTGCATTATTTGGTTACTAACAGAGCACTCTAAAATTAAAGAGTCGTGGGAAAAAAAGGAAAACCTGCTTAATTTTTAGGGGTAAAAAGAGTATTGCAGATGAGGGATATTAATTAATCCAATTCAGAACAATGTAAAGAATGGAAATGACTACTCCATCATGTGTCAGAAAAATGATAAATTTAAAGGCTTTTAATTCACATAGAGAATACATTTCTGTGGCTACTGGATGTTATCGTCCTTTCTTTTTAGCCAGTACCACAACACCCCCTCCCTAATGAAAATGTAATTTCAGAGCTGGTTCATTGACCTCTATTGGAAATAGAAAAGCACTCTAGTCACAACTTGAACTCCTCAGCAATGATAAAATATAAATGAAGTTGTTGGATTATAATAAAATGATAAAGCTTCAATGTATAGGAACATACAAAAACGACCAATGATAGCCGCAGATGAATTCAGCTAAATTCCAATTCTAAGTTAACTTAAAATAAAAAACGTGAAGGATCCACAGTGTTAATATTGTTTGTGAAGTTCAATATTTGCAAGGCAATTCGAACAATTAAACTTCCAAATGAAGAGAGGTATGAAGTCCTTTGCAGGCTGGGACTAATTTTTCCCTGAATTCAAATTGAAAAAACTACTTAGTAAAGAGATGCAAGTCTTGCACCACTTCCAAGAATAACATCAAAATGATGCACGGATTCATGCTCCAGAAAGGAAAACAACAGTCAAGCCAGGCTGACAGAGAGGGAGAGCACAAGCCAGGAGTTTGCGCCAGTCCCCAGAAGCTGGAATAAGTTTGCACTTTAAACAAATACCTCTACCAAGAGGCTTTATAGGAAGATTTTGTATTGCAGTTATCTGCAGAATCTCTAAAAGGAAAAAACCCTACTCCCAAGTAAGCCTTTGACGCACATAAAAAATTGTTAAGGAAACAATCTAATGGGATAAGACAAGGTAGATTTCATTGCTGTGTTAAATCTCATGTTAAATTAGGTTCTGACTAGTCATTTGCAGATCAGATTTCTGGAAATGTTGAGTAGAAATCCAGAATCACTGGGAGATAAATCTCAATGATAACACTAATTTTCTTACACTCGGATAACTCTCTAAACAGTCACAGTCCAGTTTTACAATAAAATGTGCAACAGGCAGAGAAGGAAAAGGACAAACATTGCAAATCAATTCTTGTCCTTTGGTGGTGCAAGTTCTCAGAGGTTACTCTTGTCCAAATCCTTCTGTTTCTTCAATGGCAAACAACAGCTTTTCTTTCAGTTGCTCATAGCTCTTGTAAGGTGGCAGGTCTAGGCGGTTAAAACTAAAAGTAAGAATTATTAGCTTGAGAAAGAGGAATATATCAAGAATTGTATAGACACTGCAGTATAGCAATATTGGTTTTAAAGTCAGGTAAAACTGGGTTCAAATCCCGGGTCTCATTGAACCTTCTTATTCTTTTTTAGAACCATTTATTTTATTTATTATTATTCATCTTCAATTTGACAAGAGAGAGAAAGAAAGGCACCGAGTCCAGGCTCGAACCATAGTCAGCCATGTGGGAGTCCAGCACCTTAACTACTATGCCACTTGCCAGCCCATCATTGGACCTTTTCCAAGTCTCAGTTTCTTCTATGGTAAAATGAGAATAAGAAGACCTACCTCTTAGGGTAAAGAACAGGCATACAGCATAGTGCCTGGTGCCTGGCAGGTAGTTAGTAAAATGTGAATCCTCAGGGCTGGCAGGTCACTTGGTGGTTAAGGTGCTGAACTTCCACATGGCCAACCATGATTTGAGTACCAGACCTGGCAGCTTTCTTTCTCACTTTCCCTCTCTCTTTCGCAAATTAAAAAATAGTAACAATAATAAATAAAATTAAATAATTCTTTAAAAAAAAATGTGAATCTTCTCATGCTCCTCCACCCACCTCAATCTAGACTATAAAAGTCAGAAAACCTTTTCTGTAAAGGGCCAGATAGTTAATATTTTAGGCTTTACAGGCCCTAAGCTCTCTTATCAAAGGTTTTTAAGCATATCACTTTAGAGTAAGAAATTATTATTATTTTTTGAGAGGTTTTTGCTTAAGTTGCATGTGCTTGCTGGAGAGAGAGAGAGAAAAACTAAGAAATAAACCTCCAAGGGGGTGGCCAAGACCCAATCCCTTCTCTTCCAGGGATCTTGGGCATGCATACACATGCACCTGACATAACTTTTAAAATGTTTATATATCTCAACACACACACACACACACACACACACACACACACACACACACACACTATTTTGACCAGAGAGGGAGTAGGGGAAGTGGGAAGTGAGGAAAACAAGCTGCCAGGTCCAGAACTTGAACTGTGGTCGGCCATGTGGAAGCTCAGTGCTCTTAACCACGCCACCTGCCGGTCCCATGCCTGACATGACTTTCAAGCCACGGGGTCCAGAACTTGAACTGTGGCAGGCTATATGGGAGTTGAGCGATGTAACCACTATGCCATCTGCTGGCCCCAAGAAATGATTTTTCTACTCTAATATCCTACTCTCACTGGGTTTCTTTGTCCTAATCTTAGCAGTGAGGTTTTTTTAAGCCTTTGGAGAAAAATTCCAAAATGAGTGTGCACGTGTACCCAGGATCCTGAGAGGAGAATGGAGGAGACAGGATTGAGGCATGGCCATCCCTGGGTGAGGTGGGGGTGGGGGAGGGATTCCTTGGTTTTTGTCTCTCTGGAGAGTACACAGGCCCTATAGCAAAAATCTCTCTCTCTTTTTTAAAGAATTATTTTATTTATTTATTTATTTATTTATTTTATTTGACAGAGAGGGACAGAGTGAGAGAGAGAGAGAGGAAGTGAGAAAGCAAGACATCAGATCCAGGACTTGAACCATTGTCGGCCACGC